TCCCAGTCTAAGCAACTCTTTAAAAAACTCAAAGCTCTGTTCTACTTTGACTTCAGCCAGCGGTTGTACAATCGCTGTGTGAATTCCATCAGGCCCTGCCTCCTCAAACCTATTTGGCCGTGCTAACTCCCGCTGCACATCCTGAATTTCCACAATAATAGGGGTCATCGTGCAGTTACCTTCGATTGATGGGAGATTATCTGTCACCCTGGGGATCTTGTACGTGCTTTTGAAGAACCGTAACAAGATACGTGCTCTATCGCCTTCTTTCACTGCTAACTCTCCGGTCGAAGATTCCAGAGTATCAACCGTTTCATGAGTGTTGCCCTTAGATTGAACATATCCGTAAAAACACTTAGGAGTTTGCTTGACGTTTTGTGCCAATCTTCACTCAAATCGCTATGTTGGGAGTCGCTAAGGCTGCTACTGCCTCCCACTGCGTGCGATCTGATTTTATCATTACCACAACCCCGCCCCTTTGCCTGTCATCCACCCTATTTTGTCTATAAATCGTGTAGTCATCCATCCCCGGGGTGATATGGTGCTTCCGCATCCAGGATTCAGTTATGGCCACTATGTCTATACCTGGGGTGCGCCGTAGCACCTCTCACCACTTATCCCGTATACTGGAAGCATTAGTGTACCAAAGTGAGACTATATCTGCTTGCGCATGCCTGCTGGGTCGGGAGCTCATTTCTGAAGGATCCTCGAGCGTAATGCTCGAGGCGTTACCCCGTTCTTTGGGGGGTTACGGATGTGGTCGAGGCTACTTCTACTTCCCAAGCCATTCCACTTTTATCCCTGGAAATGACCTTTATCGTCATTCCAAGAGTCTCTTCTACCCACATAGGTACATTCTCCATCGCTTTTGGAGCACTTAATTTCCGTCGTAATGGGAAAGCTGGGGACTGAGCAGCTATTATGGCTGGTTCCTCACAGTCAACCGTGGTTTCTTTCTCCTGACTGGTAGCTGCAACTAAGTTCTTTGGTTCTTCTTTCTCCTCAGCGACACTTCGCTACTCTTTGTCAGCAGCTTAAGTTCTCTCTATAACTGCTCGATCCGTTGTACCATTTCCAGGTAGTTCGGTTGTCTCTCAGGTTTAACCACAGACTTCTTGGTCTGTAAAGTCCGCATAGTCTATTTTCCAACTTTCTTGTTTTGGTTTCCTGCTTCTCTTATTTCTGTACTTTTATTTAGGGATGACGCAAAAGTAACCCCTTCCGATTTCTCATTGTTATCCTTATTAAGGCAGCCAGTGATGCCTTCAGAATTCTCCTGAACTCATCGGCTAGTGTTGCACAGTGTTGGCAAACCCACTTAAAGGACTTGTGCTCCATGTGGAGCTGATATTCCTTTTTGCTCATTTGAGAGCATCGCTGGTGGTACCACACTTTACAGCCGTTGCACTGAATCCCATCGGCGACATACTCTGCACAACAACTGGCCCCACGCACGTTGGAACCTTTTGATTGTACCATTCCTATTTAATCAAGAAATGTCTAAATAAACAGTTCTCTAACTCTGGAAAAGTAGACACAGGTGATACCAAAAACAAAAAATACGCTTTAACAAACTGAAAAATAAAATGCTTTAGGCCTGCGAACCGCCAAAGTACACACAGAAAAACTGACTAGTAAAATGTTTCTTATCTTTGACAGATCCCATACGATACTGGTAAACGTAAAACTACTTCATGAGTTATTTGAGTGAAACATCTACTGATATTTCACTATTACGGACAAAAAGTATAAACGAGATAGAGCACAGTGGAAATTCAATTACGCTAACGTACCACAAGTTTGTTGTGTTTTGAAGGGAAAGGGAGACGGCCCAGTCGCTGTTACATGCATTCCATCAGTAAACTAAAGGAACCCTGATCCCTAGGTCAGATCTAGGAATAAAAGATACCACGCCTTGTTCTGCTCTAGTTTTAAATCCTGCACGGGCTCAGCAATATGCTACGATTATTAGATATGAAACATTTTCATTTTGTTCCTTTCATTCATTGGTGTATTCGACGTTTAATTTATACTTCTTTGTGAACGTCTTCGTATATCAGGTCAGATTCGGAAGTCTTGAAGCATTAAACTTGGAATGTTTAACTTTCAAATTTCAGGACGTGAGGAGGCCTTTACCTGTGAAGTGTCTTGATAGTGGCGTCCTGTCCTGGGACTGACACGCTTGCGTATTGGTATTGCTACTTCTTTGACTGTTCCTGAGTTATCTGGAGTTAGACAATGGAAAAAGAGGTGGCGCAGCCCCTGTTTCTTGGAGGTCATGGAGAGTTATCATTAGCACTGGTCCGGAGAAAACGAACTCCACGCTATATACAACTGGTGCTTAAAGGTCTTGACTGATTTACATGACACTATTGTTGCCGGAAGCCGATTCCAGGCAGGGACTACTCTATTTGAGAGGTAATGGTGCCTGATTATTAGTCGGCTTCTTGTCCGCTCCAGAGTGTATGGATGCTCGCGGAGACCTCTATCTTCTCTTTGGTGGAACATGTGACCTCTTGGAGAAGTGCTGAGGTTCGTAGATATTTTGAACATCTCAATCAGATCAGATCAGGTCAGGTCAGGTCAGGTTTCTAGGACGAAAACAGGCTTTCGCCTAACGTGCGTCCAGATTCATACACCAGTAGGATTTGGGACTTCCTCTGGTGCTACGACGTGAATATTGTTTTCGTGGGTTGTCATGATTCGCTAACCTTCTCTAGATTCGGACAGCTACTCCAGCGAGCAACATTACCAGGGGTTTACTTCAGGTGATACTGTTTAGAGTTAAGTTAAAAAGGTTTACAGAGGGAGGAAAGGTAAGAATATGAAACTAAAAGTACCATTGTGGAGTCGCACTTTCGCACTCATATTAGAGACCGGCAGTTGTGGCACATTCAGCACTGGCCAGCAGAGGGAGCATCGTGTCACCTTTTTTTGTGCGATGTTTGTTTCTTGTATGCCTTCGTGTGCTGCAATGGTGAGTGGTTTGCTTAGATATGTTCGGGTGCATGCTGTATGCTATACAATGTATGAGAGCGTGGTGGGCTTTTCGTGCGCGGCGTGCAGTAGACCTTTTATTATTTTTTATAATCATAATCTCTTTGTTTTTTTGTTTATTTATTTTGTTTTTGATTTCTTTATTTCAAATTCTTTTATATTTT